AAATAGATATATATATCCATCTCTTTTGTCCACATAATTTGGAAATCCATTACATGACATCTTTACTTTCTTTACACTTGAGCCAAAACTTCAACAAAACATGGAAACTTGTGTAACTTGTGGGTCAATATCTTTCATTCTGAATGTGTAGTGCCTGTGGAATAAAGAACAAGACTAGTTGGGTGCCTCGGACCTCTGAAGGATGAGGACCGTTTTAAATCTAACCAGACAACGTTTTACTCATCTTTTAAAGTTTTGCATAGCGAGTTTCTGTCCGTGATCTCATTGAGATTTTCCCTCACTTCCTGTCCCTTGGGGACCAGCATGCACACAGGTGGAGTGTTTTCTACCAGGTCAGCAGAGAAACAAAAAAAAATCAGGAGTTTGATTCCCTTCCCCTCTCTACAAAAAAAATTAGCTTTTTCTTTCATCTGTGTCCCTAAAGAGATTTCTTACCCCTTCCTGCCCTGACGGAACAAGACAATAAAAGCAGACTGGTTCTAATCTTCTCTGCCCTTTCCAAAACAAAATAAGATGTTCTGTATGGAGTTGGACTTTAGCCAACTAGCACAGAGACCTATAAAAGCAGCAACCTCATAAAAATGGTGTGGCCAGGTAACCAAAGAAATGGTGATTGGGTGAGATCTTGCAGTATTGGGGTTTTCATCTAATTTTGTATGAATCACCAGCAGAGGCGGATATGGGAGTCACTCAGGAATGCTGATATGAGTTTTTCTCCATCTTAATAATTAAAGTAGTGCAGACCCCAAAAATGTTTTTCTCTCCCGTTCATTGAAGGACACAGGGAACAGATCGGAGATCATGTACTGTAGGGTAATATCGCCACCTGCAGGAGAAGGACGCTAGGCACAAAAAAACTAAAGACCAATTACAGCCTAGGGGCGGCCCCTGCCGGTGGCCAAACCCCCCACCTGCTGACAAGTCTCCAGTTTTTTGCCTAGCGTCAGGAGTAAGGAGCTAAGAATTTTTTCTCGGTATTCTTACCTGCTTCTTCCTGATTTTTTCAGAGGAATATTCTAGCAATTGTTGTCCGGGCGACAGGCTGGATGTCTAGGATCCTTGGAGTCTCCCCTGGATGACCAGCGAGCGTATGCAGGCCCGCTGCGGTGGGTCGGCTACGACGGCCCCGCTCTGGCGGGGTGGCCTGTGGGTTTGTCCCAGGGGGGTGCATAATGTAGGATAAGGATGTTGTTCTCTCAATATTCAAGGTAAGAAATAGTTCCTCCTATGGTTCTTCTTTAAAGAATCCCTGTCATTATCCAAGAAAAATAAGTAAAGAAGCCCTTGTTTATGCTCTCCTATACCACATTGGTTTGTAATGTCTGCACTGTCTCCAAGAGCTATGGCTTACAAAAAATGTAAGCCAGGGTGGACAAATTATTATGGAATGCAGTAGCCAGCAAGATTTGTATTTAGGAGCCAGCTCCACTGACAACGGAAAACGTCAAATTAGATGCCAGCTGGAAATTAAAGTAGCATTGGCGACCAGGCTCCTGGGATTTGTCCAGCCCTGACTTAAACATCCAGCACAACTCTAGGTGTTTCACATGCTTGGTCACCAGCTGTGTGCTGTGGTTCTAGCTCGCTTTTTTATTGTGGGAATTGCTACACTCCGCTTAATTAATTTAAGCTTTCGGGACAATGTGACCTGAAAATACTTCATAAGATGTTTGTCTGAAAATCAAAGTAAGTGCAGTAATGCCTGACATATAATGGTGGTCCATGTTGGTTACTGGTGAAGAGTACAGAAAGAAAGGAAAGCTGTATCTGCAGAGAACGTGGGGCCACTTGACAGCGGGGGCCAGTCAGTTGAGATTTACGCTCAAGTTAAAGTGAATATGTCCCTTGCTCATTCAGGGCAAAGCAATAGGTTCACTTTATTGTAGATTTCCACAGACACCTATACTTGTCTTCAGTGCAATCCCCCCCACAAATCCCTTCATCCACCAAGAGTGAAAGCAAAGTCCTGTGCAAGTAACAAGTCACTGGAGTCCTAGCTCATACAAGCCTTGGGGCTCCCTGTGACAGCTTTGATTGCCCCATGCTATACCATACCTGGAAGTACCGGGAATTTACTGTGGCTCCCGGCACTAAATAGGAAAGCGCAAGGAAGGCAAGTATAAGCTGCTGTGGATGGGGGGATTAAAACAAAGCTGTTGTTTTGCTCTGAGTGGCTGATACACGGGTTTTCTTCAGGATGCCCCTTGTGTCTCTTGTTTTGACATGTTTTCCTTGAAGGTAATAACGGCTTTTTTTAAGTCGGGGTTTGCGGAAGGTTTACTTTAATATATTGACCTTTTAGTGTATGTTTACTCTTAACAATTGAATGACCATTTTGGTGACTGGTAATGCCTATCATTGAGACTAATGTGCTGAACTGCTTTTGTAATTTTCAGCTTACTGGAGATTCTGGCTCTGTGTAAGTGTGGTGTATGAGCTGTTCCTCATCTTCATTCTTTTTCAGGTGAGAAATACACTTTAAGCTGATTGTATGTTAACTGCTCTGGTTAATATTGATCTGTTTTAATTGCCTGAGTTGTATTTGGAACTTAACTGTTGTAATTTAGCTGGCTCTAGAATACAGTGACAATTTGACCAATAATACTTCCTACATTTGTACAGTAACTGTGTGTTGTGATAGAGACAGCCTTGCATGATAATTTGTGCCTAACTGTTTAAAAAGCCATTTCACGAGTCTTCTTATGTTTCCTTCTTAGATTGTTTTCTGTTAAGCTTCATGGTTTATTAATCACAAATGTTGCATATAGAAAGCGTTTACTATATCCATGGGGACCAGGGATCTTGTATTATATAGGTTAGCGTTGGGCAACCATAGCACTCCAGCTGTGTTGAAACTACAAATTCTGTCATGCCTTTGCCTCTGGGAGTCATGCCTGTGGCTGTCAGTATTGCATTGCCTCATGCGATTTCACCACAGCTGGAATGCCGAGGTTGCCTAACCCTGATATAGACTTGTGGGTAATCATAACATACTAGACGTTTTTCATGCTTACATTTAGATAATCTCCCCAATGATCATTGTAATGTGTAGAAGTAATGCAGAATGCAGCCTTCTATGTCACCATGCCCTGAAGCTGTAGGTTTTGTATTTGTCCCAGATGTTGGTGGACAGCTCAATCAGATTCTTTAGTCGAGCAGGAGGCTTTTGGTCAGATGACCAAAAAACACAAACCTGTCAGGGTTTTTACCCATCCCTACTCCATCCAAAATGGGGGGGAAAAAAAGTTTTGGCTTTAGATGGATTTAAAGCCAGGCATGCTTGACATGAAGACTCCTTGGGACCTTGCATGCAGCCTGTTAAAGATGGTGGGCAGCAAGACTTAATCAGTGTCTCCCACCAAGTGGCAGGCAGGGAAGACGCTCAACTTGCTTTTAAAACTGAAAGATGTCTGCTGAAGATGATTGGCGGGCAGTAGACACCAGAGCAGCTATTTGAATAAGGGAAAGAGGTGTCTCTCCTCAAGTTAATGGTTGGACAGGAGAGGCTAGAGTGGCCTCCAGATGTCCCCCTGATGGTGGTGTGTAAGCAGTGGGATGCTACAGCCACTTCAATTAGCTCTACAGAAGCTGTCTGAAGGTGGTGGGCAGGTGAATTACTAATTCATGTTTACCCCTACAAATGGTGGTGGGCAGCCTCTGTAGGTAGTTATATACAAGCTATAGTTCTAATGCAGATTTTGAATTACTGTAGTGTAACCAGAGGATGAAGGCGAGACTTGCTTTGTGGCCTATGCTTAGACGGGAGTTTGCGTTATTGCGCACAAAGCATATTTTATAAACCTGCTTCCGGCTGGGCCACACAGGCCATTGTTAGTTGCTCGATCATGTGATTTCATATATTTTTCATTATACACACTTGTTAAGGGATTTAGGTACTGCATGCCCTACTGTTTTTAGTCACACACCTCTGGAACACAGTGGCATGAACTGATCTCATACATGACCAGGCAGATTGTCTTGCCTTGCTTTCGGGCTCTGCTGGAAAAAACAGCCAGCACAACCTTAACGCATATGATGTGAACCGGCCCTAATTCATGTAACTAAGATCATACATGAGCTTGCTTCCATTGTCTTGTGTTCCAAAGGAGAATTTTCATCCCTGACGATTTTGGTAGTGGGACACAAAATGGCCCAAGCTATATTTCTAATGGAGTGGAATTTCTCAGCCACTAGCCTGTTGTTCTTGGGTAGTTCTTAGACATGAATCTTTCAGCAGTCAGGTTGTCCCTAATGTCTTAGAATTGTATAATAGCTGACTTCATGGCTTTAAATATTTAAACGAGTTAAGTCATTAGGCTCTAGTGAGAGTCATTAAACGTTTATTGTGTCACTGCCGGCCCTATTTTTACTGCTTTCCCTGTCCTTGGGTTTTAAAGTGCGGTCTACTTTATTTAAAAAACTGCAGTAAATTGATAAGTGACGTCCGCAATAAAAATTAGTTGGTCTAAGTTTTTTTGTTTTTAGTTTCCTGGGAAACACTGCAAAACAGGTTTACATTGGAACATTTATAATTGTTAGCCAGAATGGAAATGTATATCTCTACATTCATTGTATTGTCAAAAGTATTGGTACACCTGCCTTTGCACGCACATGAACTTTAATGGCATCCCAGTCTTAGTCCGTAGGGTTCAATATTGAGTTTGCCCACCCTTTGCCCTTTAACAGCTTCAACTCTTCTGGGAAGGTGTCCACAAAGTTTAGGAGCGAGTCTATGGGAATGTTTGACCATTCTTCCAGAAGCGCATTTGCGAGATCAGGTACTGATGTTGGACGAGAAGGCCTGGCTCGCAGTCTCCGCTCTAATTCATCCCAAAGGTGTTCTATCAGGTTGAGCTCAGGACTCTGTGCAGGCCAGTCACAGTGGTTCCTCCACCACAAACTCGCTCATCCATGTCTTTATGGCCCTTGCTTTGTGCACTGGTGCGCAGTCATGTTCTAACAAGAAGAGAGCATCACCAAACTGTTCCTTACAAAGTTGGGAGCATGAAATTGTCCAAAATGTCTTGGTATGCTGATGCCTTAGGAGTTTCCTTCACTGGAACTAAGGGGCCAAGCCCCCCCCCTGAAAAACAGATGTCCATATAAATACCGTGGTTGGTTGACAAGACTTCCTTCCTTTATAGTTCCAATGCATTTATGATTTGGTAGGGACATTAGATTGTGAGCCCATTCAGGGACAGAAATCCTAAACTGGGAACAACAAATTGTTCTGGATACTATGATAGTGCTAAATAAATATTGGAAAGAAAACATTAATAATGGCCGTCACAATTTTGGTGTTTACACTTTAAATAAAAGCTATGTATTTTATTTACAATTTTTTTAATTTTTTTTTTTACTTTTGCAGACTGTACATGATGGGAGGCAGTTCATGAAGTATATTGACCCCAAATTGGGTGTTCCTCTCCCAGAAAGAGGTTATGGTGGAAATTGCCTTATCTATGACCCTGGCAATAAGACTGACCCTTTTCACAATTTATGGGTAAGTCTATCCTGACAGGACATTGTGCTTTGTATTACTACTGTTTTTGATTACTTTGTATTACTACTATTTTGTTCTTTTCAATGTAGTGATTGGATATATTTACCTTAAAAGAGAACTAAGGGGTAAGTGTTTTTCCCCTTAGGCAGAGCAAGCTGAAACCCGCCCGTTCCTCCAGTCAGCGCTCGGGGAGGGGGGAATCCCTGCGGGGAATGGTGACTGACAGACACCGCTCTCTGCAGGGAGATGATCAAGAAGTGAGTGAGCGACTCTATGCGTTCGCTCATTTCTCGATCTATTGAGCCAACGTGTGACAGTTTTATTGTCACACGTCGGCTAGAACTATGAAGATGAGTAATTTTCACTCTCCTCATTAATTTTTCTTCAATTAAACTCCTTTAATACTGTCAGGCCTTATATGCAAGGACATGCTGGAAGGTTAATTGGCTCCTGTCTAAATTGGCCATCGTACGTATGCATGTGTGATAGGGACCTTAGATTGTAAGCTCTGTGAGGGCAGGGACTAATGTGAATGTGCAAATCACAAGCGTATATTGTCCGTGCTATATGAATAGCTGTAATATTAATATTATGCTTGGACAATGTTCATTATTGGCTTGCCTTTTAAATGCATCTCAAGTGCGTCAGCTGCAGTCAACATTGAACAAGCAACAGGTATTTTATTTTATGCTGATCCCTCTGGCTTTATTGCTTTCTGAATTGCTGATCTGAGACCAGTAGCCAAATCGGGAATTCTCAAATCACTGGCTGCATACTGGTTCCAGGTCAGTGACTATTGAAGGCAGAGACAGTCAAGCAACCAGCATATTAAGGAAGAGGTCAGCAGTGCATGAATCTCTTGCGTAACAGGTTTCGTGGGAGTCTCAGAGTTGGATAGAAACTCCACCTTTAGTAAAAAAATAATGCACACTTCATAAAAGAAAATAATGTGCAGTTATTATGTTTTTGCATAGGAGCCAGTAAAACATTGCAACCGTTATCAGTAGATCACCAGTGCAACGCTCTGGCTCATGCAGACTGTTACACTTGTCCATACCATACATGCAGTAACATGGAGGGAAAGAAGTGTCAATGGACTACAAGTGCAGTACATTGAAGGTACAATGTACACTTGGCGTCTAAACAGTGTTCCAGGTGGAGTTTAAACCTTATCTAAACCCAAGAACAAAAAATTTAATATTACAGCTGATCAATTCTTAGATGTGGCATCTGTATTAGCGCGCTCTTTTCCACCCTTTATTTTCACCTGGTGATCCTGCTAGTAATACACTTCCTGTCCTAGGTGATGACGCTCATTTACTGGATCTATGAAGGAGCAGAATTTTCACCCTAAGGCTGCTCTCTCCTGACTTGGGCTACAGAACATCTCCTCCTCTCCTCTTCTCTTTTCATAACAAAGAGGGGAGCTGTTTTGAAGTTCAGAGGTGGCCTGGCCAGGGCTGATAACACTGCTTGGGATTTCTGTCAGGATCAACAGGTATTTTTTGCACTTATCAAAAAATTAAAACATGACAGAGGGTTTCAGCGTTTCAAAATCGTAACCAGAACTAAAAAAATACCCAAAAAACTGTTTTGCCTATGGAAAACTTTAAAGCGGCACAAAATAATTGGGAAGCATGTGGATCCCCACAAAATGTAACCGTTGCTTTGTACCACCATCCCAAACAATTGTGTAATACAATGCCTGGCCAAAAAAGTCACACTTCAATATTTTGATGGGCCGCCTTTAGCTTTGATTGCAGCATGCATTCACTGTGGCAACATTTCAATAAGCTTACGCAATGTCACAATATTTATTGCCATCCAAAGTTGCATAATTTTTCACCAAGATCTTGTAGTGATGATGGGAGAGTCGGACAACTGTATAAAGTCTTCTCCAGCACATCCCAAAGATTCTCAATGGGTTTAAGGTCTGGACTCTCCGGGGGCCCAATCCATGTGTGACAATGATGTCTCATGTTCCCTGAACCACTCTTTCACAATCTGAGCCCAATGAATCCTGCCATTGTCATTTTGGAATATGCCCAATGTGCCATCAGGGATGAAAAAAATAAATTGATGGGGAAAAACCTGGCCATTCAGTATATTCAGGTAGACAGCTGATCTCATATTTTGGGGACATAACCTTCCCGAGCCTGTAGAGCAGCGGTTCTCAACCTGTGGGTCGGGACCCCTTCGGGGGTCGAATGACAATTTGCCAGGGGTCGCCGGGAGTCAGTGGCATAACAACGGGGGGCCGCCGGGTAGCGATAAGCGGGCTGGCCGGGAGGAGCACAATATTGAAACAGGCAGACCCGGCGGTAATCATGTAGTTGAGTGGACCGGACTTTTGCTGTAATGATCTCATCTCCGCCCCCTGTGCTGACTTCGGTGCCGCTCATCCCACACTGTGTCTCCAGCTGTCCCCCGCCATGTGCCTTCTCTGGAGCCTCACACTACCTCCTCGGGGCCACTCTCTGCACTGTGGGAGGAGCCGTTCTCTCCTCTCTCCTCTCTCCTCACTGCCTCCTGGTCCCAAGCTGCAGGTACTAGTCTCTGTGTGTGTGTCTGTTTGTCTGTATGTATGTGTGTATCATTGTATGTATGTGTGTCATTGTATGTGTCACTGTGTTTGTCAGTGTGTCATTGTATGTGTGTGTGTCATTGTATGTGTGTCACTGTGTTTGTCAGTGTGTCATTGTATGTAAGTGTGTCATTGTATGTGTGTCATTGTATGTGTGTGTGTCACTGTGTTTGTCAGTGTCATTGTGTTTGTCAGTGTGTCATTGAATGTGTGTGTGTCTGTCACAGTGTTTGTGTGTGTGTCTGTCCCTGTGAGCTTGTAAGCTTCATCAAGTCCTAGTGCAGCAGTGTCAGTTCTCCCGCCACGCCGCCAGATGTCGCTGCAGCAGCCGCGTCATCCCTAAATTTTACCGTTGGGGGTCACCACAACTTGGCAAATGTTACCAAGGGGTAGAAAGGTTGAGAACCACTGCTGTAGAGATTATCCAGTGGAAGGCTCTGACCTATTTTGTTAGCTAAATCCAGGTACTGCCACGCAGTGTATTTACATGTACAATTCATGTGAAACTACAGACTTTCAAGGCACCAGCTTACTCCAAAACCACTTTTTCCACTTTTGTGGTGTGTAGGCTGCAATCTAGACTCTACATGTTTCTTATACCAAGGGTCTACTTTAGGAGAACAAGAAGGGACACCAAGCATTGAAGCAAGACTTAAAATAGGCACTTCCCCATAGAAAGCTGTGTTAATACTTAACTGGAATGAATAAGTTAACAGTAATGGGCTGAAATACTTTCATGAAGAAAATGCTGCTCCCTTCAAGGTTGGCTACACTCTTAAGTGCTTGTTCGGGGCATGAGAGAGGAGGAGGGGGGTAAGAGTTCAGGCTGAATAATCATCCCTTTCATTAAAGATTATGACCAATTACCCTGGCTTTCGCACACGTGGCCAGCACTGAAAGGTGCCTGGAGCAGCATTTTCTCCAGGAAAAGCATTTCAACCTTTTTTTAACCACTTCAAGACCAGGTGTTTAGACCCCCTTCCTGGCCAGGCCATTTTTCAGTGTTCAGCGCTGCGATACTTTGACTGACGTTTATTCCGTCATGCAACGCTGTACTGAAATGAATTTTATACCATTTTTTGGGGACAGATAGGGCGTTATTTCGGTGGTATTTAATCACCACTGGGGTTTTTATTTTTTATTATAATTAGGAAAAATTACAGAAAATTTTGAAAAAAAAAAGTTTTTTTTACATTATATAATAAAGGTTAGCAGAAGCTGTAACATTCCGTTTGTTGTATAAATTACTGTCTGTCTGTCTGTCTGTCTGTCTGTCTGTCTGTCTGTCTAGGCATTTGTCCGCATCTCTGTTGAAGGGGGAGATCGGCCAGTTTTGAACTCTGATCTAATATTTATGACATAACTTGTATGGGGAAAAAATTCAGTTTATTATTGTACAGGGTTTATATAGCGCCAACAGTGTGTGCAGCACTTTACAAAATTGAAAGAGACATTACAATTAACAATACAATTTCAGTACAGGAGGTAGGAGGGCCATGCTTGTGAGAGCTTACAATCTAGTACATCTTTGCAATACATGCTCATTTCCCCATGTTTTATGTCTTTAATAATAGTGCCATTACAAAAATATACACACTGCCTTACACTAAAATAGTAAGTCAGCCCTGTCCAGTTCTTCTTGCTGGACTACAGAACATCTCTCTCCATTACTGTAGATTAAGGTGGAGGTTTTCTGTAGTCCACAGGAGGAGAGCTGACAACTCTGGGTTGTCAGTGCAGCAGAGGAAGCAAGATCACAAAGTTTGAAGCTGGATATCTGTCAGGATCAATGGCTATTTTTCTACACCCTCAATCAGCTGATCAAAGGAGCTGGTCGCAAATTCTTTGAACGAACAGAGCCGGCAGCCAATGAGTTGCTGAGTCTGTTCAGGTAATTCGCACAGTGGGTGCTCCTGTCGGCACCCTTTCAGCTGTCATCCCTCAATCGGCTGATCGAAGGAGCCGGTTGGAACATCTTCGAATGAACAGAACCGGCAGCTGTTGAGTTGCTGGGTCTGTTCGGGTGTTCTCTTAGGGAGAGGGCGAGGCAGAAAGGGACCAGTCAGAGCAAGTCGGCGCCGAGGTTCAGTCAACTGTATGTTGGTTTTCGTACATAGACCAAAACAACCCTTGTAGTGTGGGGGGGAACCCCTTTGCAACGGTTAAGAATATTTTCCCCCCCGAGTTCTGCCTTGAGGTGAATAATGTGTATTAAAAATAGTCTGGTTTTTTATAAATATATAAAGAGATGCACCAATACTATTTTTACAAGTACTGATACTTGCCCAAGTACTGATACATTTTTGTTGTCGTGACAATTTTTCTAAAACAATACAGACTAATGATTTCCAGACAGTGGTGGAGTGCCAGAGCCAGGTCCCAGCTGCAACCGCTGCAACCCTGGTAGTTCTTGTGAAAATGCCAAGTATCTGCACTGGTATCTGAACTGGTATTATTCAATGCAAACGGTACATTTTCAGAGTTCTGCTTAGCACACTTAAAGTGGAACTGAAGGAAAAAAAAGTACTTTTTCTAATTGTAATTGGTCCAAGGAAGTTTAGTGTAATGCTTTGTCAACTACATCCATAGGGCAGCTGGGAATGCTGGAAGTTTTATTTTTATTTCTCGGATACTACTGTCAGCTATGAGCTTTCACTGCTCAAACAGTCACGGCTAGTGTAGAGGGAAGAAGGATTCAGTCGCACTCCCTCCTCCCAGTCACAAAAAGTGGTTTATTCTTTTCACAAGGTGTTCAGTGAATGGATGAGAAGGAGATCCAGTGGTTTACCTGCCCCCTCCTTGCCCCTCATCCATTCACAGAATGCCTTGTATTAAAGAGTAATTCCACTTTTGTTGAGAGAGAAAAATCAATCCTCGCTGGGTGATCTGTGTACATTACAAGGACTTTAACACACTTAGTTGCAGTCTCCTACCTATTTCTGTTCTGAAGCAATAGCAGTTCGTTTCACCGTGTCCTTTCCAAACTGATTCCTGAAAGGTTCATTATAACCACCTGGTGCACTTTCAGTATTCTAATGAGGAAAGGTGCAATGTGAAGCATCCCTTTGGTAGTAATTACCCTTAGGGAGTATCTCACCTAAAATGAAATTCCTATTGCAATTATACTTGTATCTTAGTGCAGACTTCTGGGAACATCAGTCAGCCAATCAACGAAGCGACATTTCTGGGGGCGTTCATACACAAACTGTACAGAACGCCTCCAGGTTGCCATATTGGATTTATTTTTTTTGGACAGATTTAGAACATTACAGCGGCTACAGTTTTAAATGGAAAGGTGATTTTGAATAACAGTAAATGACAACATGAATTTGTGCGACAATTATATATGCTTTATTAATTTTTTTAATATTTTTTTTCAGTTTTATATTTTTAAAGCTGATCTACCCTTTAACTGAGATGAATACAAGGCTTTTTGCGAATAGATGAGGAGAGTAGAAGGGGAAAGTAAACGGCTCTCTCCACTATACACTAGCCGGCAACTGTCAGTCACAGATCCACATTTCACATTTTAAGATAATTAAAAAAAGCAATGGCCTTGCGTTTCAGGCTGACCATATATGATAAGATCAGGCCTTCCTGCACAAATTCGGGTGCTTCTGACTTTCGCATTATGAGCAGATATTTACTTTGTGTGCAAGTCAGTTTTATTTCATACACAGGACAATTGGCAGACTGTGACATTTACTCTGCCAGTTTTAGTTTATTGTTTTGTACTGTATTAGTAGCTTGTAAATAGTTCTCATCTGTCTTCACCCAGAACCGGTTTCCTAAACAGGATAAACGCTTACAAAAATAAACACATTAGCCTTGGAATGCATGACCCAACTGACCAAAGCTTGTACATGTTCTGTCCGATATAAAGACAGGAACTCCTATGAAATGTGATGCCTCGTTAATCCTTATTGTTGATTTGAGTCACCCCATTATATGCATTCTCGGACAGTACTTTTTATCTTCATGAGCATCCTCTTCACAGCATATGGTAAAAAGGCACACACTCTTAAGACAGTCATACAGTATAAGGCCCTGGTGCCCAATCTGCAGCCTGGGGGATGCATGTGGCCCTTTGGCTCCTTCTGACTGGTCTTCAGGGCCCTGCAGTCTATTTTGGTGCATACTGGGGCCAGTGAAAGAAAAAGGATTTAAGATTGGACTTTAGTAGTTCATTGTTTGGGTTTTTTCTTTCACACTGTTATTTTTTTTTCTGTGCTGTGCGGCCCTTTTTTCTTTTTTTCTTTTCCTCTGAGCTTTTATAATGGATCTTGCCAAGATAAATATCAAATGTGCCATAAATATTCTTTTAAGAGGGCTGTGGGGGAAAAAATGTGGTAACATTAACTTCTTAAGGGGATATAATAGTGATCTCTAGCAGTCTCATTTAATGTGTTTCCAGTCTGTCTGCTGAAGCATGTCCATGGTGTCCAACAACTCCTATAGTATGTCTGCGGTCTCTGACCATCTCCTGTAGGACCTCTATAGTCTAATCCTCTTATGGCATGCCTGTAGTCTCTTAACTTTCTGCTGCATGCCTTCAGCCTCTGACAACTTTCTGTAGCATTACATTTACTATTATGTGAATATTGGTGATGTAGGGGGCCACATCTGATGCCCCCCTATATAAAGTATGTTGACCATCACTGGTATAAGGGGGGAGAACATGCCTAAGCACATAAAACATACCTACAGATAGTTGATATTGACATAAGACATTCTGCAGGCTCTTGCAATGCTGTGAAGATGAGGCTACCTGACACCTTATGTCCCTCACCCCCTGCACAGCAGACCGAATACTACCATGACCTCATTGCAATCTTTGGTGTACCTGCACCTGCTGCAGTTGAGATTTTTAGACCAGCACATACATGCTAGGGAAAATTGCAGAACTACTACTTTGGACCAATTAACCTTCCAGCATGTCTTTGGAGTATGGTAGGAAACCAGAGTACCCAGAGGAAACCCACAAAAGCACAGGGAGAACATGCAAACAACATGCATGTAGTCTCCTGGCTGACGTTCAAACCATGGACCCCAGTGGTAGAAACCATACGTGCTAATTTCTAAGTCGCTGTGCTGCTTTAGTATTTTGCTGTGATTTCTTCACATTATTGTATGCAATTCATATAACAATCTGTTTTAAATGTTTTTCAGGATAAGGTGGATGGATTTGTACCTGCTCATTTTCTTGGTTGGTACATAAAAGTAAGTTGTGACAAAGCAAAGATCTTGCCATGCACAAATTATGTTAAAGCAGAACGGAGGTGGGTGGGGGAATTCTACTGGGAGTGCCTGCAATAATGTGCAAACATGCGTGGCATACTTGCACTTTATAGCAAACTTACCTTTAAATTTGTCCTGCTCCAGCAATGACCGCTTTGCACACACTCGTGCTGCTGCCATCTTCACTGAAGCATTTTCCACTGCTAGTGTCTTAGTTCTTTGGCCATAGGAAGGCCAGCGATATAACTACCATGCATGATTGATGATGACTTATTCTGGCATTCAGTACCACTTGGCACACAAACATTGGCCTGCTAGCAATTCTATCTTTTCCTAATTGCTTAACTTATTTTATAACGATATAGCATTGATTTTTATTACAGAAATGTACAAATGCAATACAAATTCATACAGATGGGGTCTCTGGTGGCATTTGAACCGAAGGCCCCTGAAAAAAACATAAGTGCAAACCACTTGGCCGCCATGACTGTGTACTACACAGGCAATAAAAGCTGATTTACTAAAGAAGTTGAGATTCTTCACTTAGAAAATTGTGTAAATATTCGCTTCAGTTGTCCAATCCTGGCAAAAGTTTTTGGACATGATTGGGTATTCGAAGGAAAATCAAAGAAATTTGATTTTCACCTATCCAGATAATTAATAAATATTCACACAATGTTTGATTGAAGACTTTCAACTTCTTTAGTAAATCAAAGTCCATGTTATTTTGAGCAGCTGATTTCTGGCAATGACCTTTTTTTAAAGCTTAATGTGTTATCATGGGACGCAGTGACGTGCCATAGACATGAACAATCTGTTACTTGTGGGACAGGAGTGGTGAGATTTTTATTTGCACATTACTGTGGTTAAGAGTCACTTGTGTATTATAGCCCAGATTGCTGCTGCTATTATGTGAATGACAGTACAAAGCAGCTTGAATTGTACCTGAACTGACATGTCTATTTCTTGTTCACTCATAGACACTAATGATAAGAGACTGGTGGATGTGTATGATGATCAGTGTGATGTTTGAGTTCCTGGAATACAGCCTGGAGCACCAGCTGCCCAATTTTAGTGAATGCTGGTGGGATCATGTAAGTAGGATTGCCTCTCAGCCACTGCTGCCTCACCTACATACTGCTCTGTTTAGCAGCTTTGGCCATGTCTGTTTTTATTGAAATTGTGCATTTATTGGTCTAGAAGTGGATAAAGATACTTAAAGTTTTAGCTCTCTGCAATTCCCCCTAAAATCAATTACATTTTAAAAAATACGTTTTGGTTGGCCCTGTCACTGTTCTCTCCTAGATGAGAATGTCTTATCCTTGCTACTGCAGCCTCCTGGGACAGTGAAAGTCACGTAATCTGGAAAGCTGCAGGACCTAAAGGCTTGCAGCACCCAGTGAGCAGACCTAGTCCTGTGACATTGGGGGGCTGGCTGCAGAACCTGGCAGAGACATCAGGCTACCAATGACGCCATAGAAAAAGGGGGTGCCGGACCCAGGCTGTGGTGGTGCTTCACATTGGAACAATGCTGGGCAGGTGAGTATTTTTTATGATGAGAACATAGACTAAAAAAAAGTAAGAGGAGATAAGGAAAAAGGGGGGTGTGGGTGGTAGGCACCGATCTCACATTTTTCAAGACTTTTGCAGGTGGGGTAACATGGTTTTATTCTGCTGATGTTTTCAATGGTACTCATGGTAGTGCTTTACTGCTCCTTCTCACAATTCAGCTACATAATTCAGCAAACTCAGGGGAAAACAATCTTTCCTAATGTGGTCGGTATCTTATCTTAATAGTTGTTAAGCTGTAAGATGAATTGCAGTTGCTAATCTACAAATCTTTATACCTACAAGTAGTAGAATTGCAAACGCAGAGATAATTATGCAAAATATGTGCTCACTAAAAAAATGCATATACCTGTAAGATGCTGAACCCCAGTGGTGATTAAATACCACCAAAATAAAGCCCTATCTGTCCCCAAAAAATGGTATAAAATTCATTTCAGTACAGCGTTGCATGACGGAATAAACGTCAGTCAAAGTATCGCAGCGCTGAACACTGAAAAATGGCCTGGCCAGGAAGGGGGTCTAAACACCTGGTCTTGAAGTGGTTAAAGAATGCCAGTAGTTTTTTTTTTTTCTTTTTTCCTAACAGCTGATTTGTTTTAAAATGGGTGTATCACTAAAGTACATATTTACATGAATCAACAGGACAATTGTGAAAATAACCAAATTGCATTATTACTTAGAGCTAGTTACATAGTCAGGTTGAACAAAGACACATGTCCATCGAGTTCAACTTATAGAGATATGAAAAAAATTAAAAGCCTAAACGGAACGCCATGCCCACAATTACCCAATCTTGATCCAGAGGAAGGCAAAAAACCCCTATAAAGCATTAATGATTCAATTTGCTCCAACAGGAAAACAAAATTCCTTCCTGGTCCCATAAGGCAATGGGATACTCCCATGAAAGAAAAACATTCAAAATAAAAATTATTTTACATTTCAATTCCATAAAGGAGGGACTTAATGTGGATTCTGGTTTTCTTAACACACTACCAGAACTTTTCATGAATATACAGAACATAATAATATTCATGTATGTTGTATATCCCTGATCTGTTTAGGATTTATTGGTCATCCTATGTTTATTTGTTCTGTGTTCTAGTTATCAGGATACATTCTTTACTCCCAGGTCCAACATTTGACACCCCACTCACCCCCCCTCCCTAACAACTTAATCTTGCTTTAAGTGGTAAACGTCATGTTGATTAGTATTGCTTCTGACCTGAAAAAGAGAGGTTGACTCTCGAAAGCTTGACTTTTATATATTTTGTTAGTCCAATAAGAAAGGTATCATCGCATACTACAATACTCCGTTTAGTTTTTTTATACATCTTCTCTACCAACTTTTTAGGCCGACTAGGTCACATGGGTTCTCTCTGCTAACCATAACCACCAAAATGTGTTCATTGCACTGGAATAATTGAGTTTAATTGAAGAAAAATTAGAATTAAAAGTAATAACTCTGGTATAGATGTATTAGTCTCTATGAATATCAAAATGTTCCTGCAGACCAAAAAGCTCTATACTGAACTTAGTACTGTCTTTATGGTGCTCTAACTTTATGCACCGCCTAGCATACAGAGCGGCCTCTTAAGACGAAAGTCTCTACCAAATTTGAAATACCATTGGGATCAGCGCCAACAGTTAAATTTGAAGTGTGAAATGAAAGTCGTGCAACAAATTTTAGGTAGTACTTATGGACAACACGTTTACATTCCTGCGTTATGGCTGCAACAAATTCATGAAGAAATACCCCATTATGACTGATCGTAAAAATGGAGATAATAAATAAGACTTTTTCCATGTTGGAGAAAGATATGTGTCGCGTGTTAATATTGTGTCAGGCAAAAATCTGAGGCAACTGCAACCTGTTCATATACATCTTACCGGCCAGTTACATGAATCTGTCCCAGGTTGCACCATTTTATTGCCTGGATGGGAAACCGATCCGGGATATAAAAAATGTCTCCAACAATCTATTGAAGCTCCACGGGTTGTTTTTAACACATAATGATAAGTTTTACATTTCAAATGAATCTGCCATACGTCTCTCTGAAAAATGCCAGTCTATATTAGCGTATATTATTTGTTTTATAAGCTGAAATGTAGAGGTATTCATCTTTTTCCTTCCCTTCCAGTGGATAATGGACGTTTTGGTTTGTAATGGATTTGGAATTTACTGTGGTATGAAGACCCTTAAGTGGCTGTCTATGAAACCTTATAAATGGCAGGGCCTGTGGAACATTCTATCATACAGGTTTGTGTACTACATGTACAAAACACATTCTTCTGTATTAATCACAATGAAATAATAAGTGGGTATGCTGCATCTAGTATCCAGAGAGAAGGCAGCTTGCGTCAACTTACTTTTCTAGAAAGATGGCTAAAAACTGTATGGGAAAGGAAACACACTTTGTTTTATCAGATATAACAGGACACAGGATGGTATTTGGGAATGTAGGGTTATGAAGCCCCCTTGTGGAAATTCCAATCTCCTAGGGTGAGGGGTGGCAGCATAACCCTATGTTTCCTAAATACCATCTTGGGTCATGTAATGTACTCCAAGAAAAGGAATACAGATGTCACATTTTTTTTTCCAGTATGCAGAAATATACATCCTTTTTTTTCAGTATACTTAAAGATAAACCAGGAGAAGCTGTATGCTGTACGTAGGTATACATTGCACAGAGTAACTCCATTGGTAAATAATTTGTTCATCAATGGAAATGTCTGTTTAAATTCTCCTTTAGTCCTGTGTGTTGCTTTATTTGGAAGTAATATCAGGCTTTTTCTCAGCTGGTTGCAGGATAAGCTAGAAAGTTAATTTGAATATTATTACAGGTGCACCGAAATGGAAATTTCAAAACCGAAACGAATCCAAAATAAAAATTGTCAGGCCGAAACCAAAAATGTTTATTTGAATTTTTTTCAAATCCTTCTTTTTTTTTTTTTTTCATTTTTATTACATATTGTTATTTACGTTTAGGGGCTTATGTAAATTATTAGTGGGTCTAAACAGACCCCTGATATTTGCCTTTTAAAATAGAAAAAGAGATTGAGGACACAAAGTCTCAATCTCTTTTTCTGTATCTCCTGCTATCAATGAACAGGAATCCTCCATACTGAGTGTTCCTGTTCATTCATAACTTGAGAACATTGTGTATTTACTGTAACTACAACTATGAATGCACAGGAGGTGATGTGGAGCACTTCCCATTCATTCATAATTGAGGATATAGTAACCATACCATATCCTCAATTATCCCACAGTCAGCGTTCACTGAACGCTGAGTTTGTACCTCGCTCTCCTCTCTGACACTCTGTCACAGGAGGCTGGGCGAGGCGGTGCAGGGAGGAGAGCTCAGCCTCCTGTGACAGCGCGGGCTGTCTCCGCCCCCACACCGCTCTGCCAGACTGTGATAGGAGGCTGAGCAGTGTAGGAGGAGAGATGCCGGCCGCTCACAGCGCTCTCCTCCCGCAGCGCTCGGCCGGCTGTCGCACTTTCTCTCCTCCCTGCTGGGACACAGAGCAGCGCCCAGTGGGGAGGAAAGGAAGCAGGGATGCACTGATGTCGGAAGTCGGCAGGAAAATTAGACTTTCGGCATTTTAGCTAAAAGTGCAATTTTCGGCCGATATATTGTTGCATCCCTATATATTATAGTATTTAAGAAGAAATATCCCCCAAAGGGATACACTCCCTGGGAATACCTCACTTACAAACTAATATCTATAAAAATAGCAACATTTATTAACAAAGCATATTTAAAAACAGGATCACATTTCACATGATCTGAAAAGCTACTCCGTGTATCCTACATAGATGATCAATGCAATATCTATGCAAGAAACTGAAAGAAAATGGTTAATTCATATGAAAACCAACATATAGAACACACACATTGGATCAAACAAGATGTTTGTGTTCTATATGTTGGTTTGCTTTGTTAATAAATTGTCAGGTCTGGATCACTTCGGTTTCCCTGCTTTTGGGATCCCCCATTTCTTTCACCTGTTATAGTATTTATAGGGATTTAGTTGTTTTTGCAGCTTCCTGTTTCACTGTTGGAGCATTCTGCCCCCAGTGGTGAATGTAGCCAAATACACCACGCTCCAACTTTCAGATTATTATGATGTATAACAAATACCATTAATACACCTTTAAAGGAGAATTATGAGGTGAGTGATTTTCACTGAGCCTCATAATCTGAGCCGACCTGTTACAATGAAACTGTCACAGGTCGGCTCTGTAGATCGGGAAGTGGGCGAACACATACCGGCGCTCGCTCACTTCTGGATCCTGTGGCGACTGAATTCCCGCCTCCCCTGTCCGATCCTCCAGCACTGATTGGCGGAACGGACGGGAGAGGGGGCGGGTACAGCTGCCTCTAGATAGGCAGAGCCAGCTGTCACTCACGCAGCTGGGTGGATCCAGACATAATTGTCGGGATCCGTTCCGGCTGAGGCATCTCAGTATACCGCGAGCTGTAGCTCACAGTATACTGAGCTTTGGGTGATGGGGGGGGGAGCTAGTTTGTGTCCTCCCATTACCCTTAGGAGAACTATGGGGTAAATCCCTAACCCCATAGTTCTCTAAGTATCTTAGAATGTATCTATGTATGTATGTATGTATATATAATACACTTTTCAAGCAAAGCACTGGAAGACTGGAGAAGAAAACAACAGCCTAATTTTTCTCACCAGGCTTCCTTTTTAAGATCTGCTGTATATCTGTGTTAAATGTATGAGCACAGGAAATGTCTGTCTTTGCAAATTAGATAGAGAATCCTATTAAGTGATATATAACATTTTTTTTTTCAATTTTAGAGGCAAAATGAAGAGAATTGCCTTCCAGTTCACGCCCTATAGTTGGGTAAAGTTTGAATGGAAGCCGGCTTCGAACCTGCGAAGATGGTTGGCAGTTTGCGGTATTATATCTGTAGTGAGTACAGTATAAAGATCCTTAACCACAACAGATGTTTGATGGCACTGTTATCGAGCACAATACAAACCTCTCGGTAGCAAAGCAAGTTAATGCACCAATACATAAATTCAAGCAATGGTGTTCAGTTGGGAATAGAAGCCAGTCTTGCTTAAAGGGGAAATTACTACAATGCCGCTGTCCAATGCCAGTTCTAAGACCAAGAAGTGAGCGTTTGCGGGACCGTTGATCAGTCGGCACTCACTCCGTGCTCTCAGCAGGCAGCAGTGACGGTCGGCCATTGCCTGACCCACCTCCCCTCCCAATTTTGTCACAATCCTTCTCGACTACAGAGCGGCTCTATGCTGTCAGCTGATAGCAGGCTTATGCCTGCTTTCTGCTGACTTTTGGACACAGAAGTCTATTGGCGAATGTACATCTGTACCCAAAAGAAAAGGTTTGGGTTTACTTTTTTAATAAGTGAAAAATGAAAATAGTGGATTGCATTGCAATACATTACTCTATTTGCACTTTGCTCTTTAATCCCAAGTAAATTACGGCATAATAATAAAGAGCTAAGTGTAGCAGCTCATAACATTCAGCATTCATGTTAAACTAATCAGACACCAGTTTGGTGAATTCTGATTGAATACATGGTTACTGCACTTTACACCATTTCATTCCTTATTTATTGATGAGCATTATTGTGCTTTAGACTTATTACTCACAACCATGGGGGACTTCCATGGGATTATTTAAAACTAGGGATGCACTGATCCCGGTTTTTCTGTATAGAGCACAAGTACCGATATTTCTTTTTCAGTACTCGCCGATACAGAGTATCGGTGCCTTGTGCCCCGACTATCAGGAAGTCGGGCAGCAGATCATGACCTGTCGCCCAGCTTCCTGTGAAGCTGGTGTTCTAGCAAAAGAACGCCGGCTTTACTTGCCGAGGCTGCCTTGCTTCATGACCATTTAGGAAGCCAGGATGCGAGTCATGACGTACCGCCTGGCTTCCCGATTGGTTAGGAAGCCAGGCTGCTTACCAACAAGTGACTCGGTCTTCCTAGCTAATCAGGAAGCCGGGTGGCAAGTCATGACCTGCCTCCCGGCTTCCTGGTTGGCTAGGAAGCCAGGCTCACTTGTTTCTAGGCAGCCTGGCTTCCTGACCAATCAGGAAGCCAGGACGTGAGTCATGACATGCCACCCAGTTTCCCGATTGGTTAGGGAGCCAGTCTGCCTAACAACAAGTGAAGCTGTCTTCCTAGCTTATCAGGAAGCCGAGTGGTAACAGCTTCACTTGATCCTAGGCAGCCTGGCTTCCTGACCAATCAGGGAGGTGGGTCATTACGTGCCACCCAGCTTCCTGATTGTTTGGAAGCCAGGCTACCTAGCCAATCAGGAAGTGGGTCATAACCCACCACCCAGCTTCCTGATTGGAAAGGAAGTCTGCTCCATGCTCCCTCAGCACTGCCGGTCCGAGGGAGATCTCCATCTGACTGGAAGTTCCAGTATAGGAAGTAAGTATCGGAGTATTTGGGCAAGTGCGAATAGTTGGCCAAATACTCTGTATCGGCACCGATACTAGTATCAGTGCATCCCTATTTGAAACTTCAGACTTTATATAATTTACATTTAGCAAAACTGGTAGCCAACAGTGAAGAATTGTCAGAGTTAACGTTTGCGGAAAGGAAAGTAGGCACTTCTTATTTGTTGTAACAATTTAGGCATTTAAGTGATACAAAATACATTATTTGTCACACTAGATAGCGCTCTTGTTCTAGTAATCTATTGACTTCAATGCTGCTGAGAACAAAGTTTTAGTCCAAAATGAAGTGAAAAGTCAATGTTGTTGTGCAAGGAATACCAGCTTGTTAAAAAAAAGGTGTATGAGCAGGTCTATATAATGTCCAGCAATGGTGCTGAAATTAGGAATTGTTGGCTTTTCTACAGCAACTTTGGTCTTGACTCTCTAATGCGGGGCTCTCACTGGCCTCCAAGTTCAAAAATTGGCAAACATTTGTTAATAGGGTATATTTGGAGCATGGGTGGGGAACCTCTGGCCCTCCAGCTGTGGTGAAACTACAAATTCCATAATGCATCTGTCTTTGGGAGTCATGCCTCGTAGGATTTATAGTTTCATCACAGATGGAGGGCCAGAGGTTCCCCACCCCTGCTCCAAATATACCCTATTAACAAATGTAGGGCTGCAACAACTAATCGACATAATCGATTATAATCGATTATTGAAAAAGTTGTCAACTATTTGCCAATTTTGGAACTTGGAGGCCAGTGAGTAGGTAGAGTAGCTAATCTAAACCAGAACCCTGAATTTTTTATTTTTTTCCCCCCACACTCCTTTAAGATCGTTAGACATCAGTGGGAGCCATACTTTACCTATTTCCACTGCCCCATGAGCAAGAACCGTCTTATACAGGAAGCCGTGCACAGTGCGGTAATAGCAAAACATTTGAATTATTTTGATTGAAGCCACCCTAGTATAAGATGGATTCTGGTTGGTTATTATGGCCCATTTCATTGGATAATCTCAAATGTTTTTTTTGTTCTGTAACTGCCTTTGGGCTGTGTGCCCTTTTAATACTAAATAATGCTTAACCACTTCCGGGCTGCAATAAGTCTATATACGGCGGCCTGCAGAGTTGTTAAACCCATAAGACGTCTGGTGCAGTTGCTGTGTTCTTGGTGTCTTTTTAAACAGCCGGGGATGGCTGTTAATGTACAAGCAATTCGGCATCTATACAGTCGCTGGATTGTTTTTACAGTGCGTCGCTGTGTCTTCTTCCCCAGGCTCCGCTGCCCCCCGCACCGCCCGGGACCGGCACAGCGGGTCTCCCCGCAACGATCAGGGAGAGATTCAGCGTCTTCCAGCTCTTCTTTGGCGCATCACTGTCGTCACCTCCCCAAAAATCTGAACAGTTCCCTGCAATAGAATAGATATTATGCTTGCATCTCTGGTGGTCCGTGCTGTTGGTTTTCATTTTGCTGAACTGCTACAGCCAGAATCTTCAGCGTTTATCACTTCCAGGAGTGTTAGATCGCTGTGTGCTGTGGCTTCATCGTCCGAGGCCACATCTCCCTACAGGACGCAGTAGTGACATATAAGTCACCAGATGGAACCATAGCATGGTGGAGGACACAGCCATAAGACGCTAATATGCTACTGAAGAGGTAAACATAATAGCTCTTCTTTTACAGTGGTCTGTTTTAAAGGCTTTTTGGAGTGATGTCCCTTTTAACCCTTCCACTGCCAAGGTGTTTTGTGCACTCGTTATAATCCACATTTTAGGCCTCAAAATTACTTAAAACCCCTGAGAGTTATGCATTTCCTGAAAGCACAGACCCTGTAGAATAAAATGACAGCAGTGGCAATTTTTTACGTTGCATGATATTGGCACAACTCTCATTCAAACCCCAAATTTCAGTAAAAATTACACTTAAGTTAATTTTGGTGCCCAAAACCACAATACAGTGCCCATTTTTTTTGTAAGATATAAAAGATAAGGTTATGCCAAGTATATAGATATCCAACATGCCAATCATAAAAATTGCAGGTGCCTTTGAAATGGCGACAAGTTATAGTTCCCCAAATTGTCCATGGGCGACCCTTTAAAAGCCTGTACAGGTCAACAGTTTAGAGCTGACTGAATATTGGTGGCCCTAGAATTATTGTTCTCGCTTTGGCGCATGTGACGATACCGAACGTGTAGCGCAATCGTCGTTTTTTGTATGTAGGCGTACCCGAGGTGTTTACGGCAATATGGGGGAGGGGGACTTAAAAAGGTGCTGACAGGTACTCTTTAAGGTGACATTAAGGTCTGTTAGACCCCTAGTGTCACCTTTCCGCTGCAAAGATGCTATTCAAGCACGGAATGCGGGGAGCAGATCAGCGAACTGGAAGCATTCTGACGGCAGCTTAGCTTCCATTGTAACGCTGACCACCGGCTTTACACAGCTGAACAGTCTTTTTAGGTGGATTATCAGTCTAATAGCCGGCAGTTAATGTTTAAAGGGGCCTGCTGCCAGCGGCGTATGCTGTTCGAAAGGATTAAAGGTGTAAATTAGGGATGCACCAATATATCGGCCGCCGAAACGTATCGGCCAAAAATGGCCCTTTTGGCATAATGACGAAGGGTCATTTTCCTGCCGATACAGCGGAGCATCCCTGCTTTCTCTCAGTGATCACTGAGTGTTTGTACATAATTGAGGATATGGTATGTTAACTATATCCTCAATTATAAATGAATGGAAGTGATTTACATCCCCACCTGTTCATTCATAGTTGTGGTTATAGTAAACGTACTCTGTCGTCATGTTATCAATTAACAGAAACATTCAGTATAGATAACAGGGGACACAGAATGAGATAGAGGACTTTGTGACCTAAATCTCTTTTTTTCTTTTTTTAAAAGGGAAATATCAGGGGTCTGGTTTATCATGTTTAGACCCCTAATATTTCCCCGAAGCCCCTAAAAGTAATGTAAATTTTTTTTTTTATAAAAAATGAATTAAATATAAAAAAATTAAAAAGTTTATAACAAATAAATTAAAATAAAAAAAATTTCGGTTCCGGCCTAACAATGTTTTTTAATTTCAGTTTTAAAATGTCCATTTCGGTGCACCTCTAGTGTAAATCTTTCACTACAGTTGTCAGTATTGTAGGTTTGATAACTGCCAAGGAGCACATTTTTCTTGAGAGTTCCAGAGATGAGATTTCTTCACCAGATTTTTTTTTTAATACTTCCTGTCACTTCCATTAGCCAAGCTTTGTTTTTAGGTGTCTTCTCAGTCTATAATAGCCCTAAGTTAATGCTGGAGGAAGTGACTCGCCACTTGCCTTTTTGTGCAGTAGTTTCCTGTCGAGTTGAGGCCCTGGGCCTAGACCTGTAGCAGGGATGTCTGGGCTAAAGCTGATTGATGGTTGGTGGGATCTTCTGGTCTGTTTAGCAGAAGGCAGTACGAGATCACAGCCATCATTCAACAAAGCCTGTAACATCGATTTTAGGGGGACCAGTATTTGTTCTTGTTACTGTGTAAATTGTTTTATTGGGATCATGATAGGAAGTGTTACACAACCTGTTCTAACAATATTTTATTTATTTTTTTTCTAGTTTTTACTGGCAGAACTAAATACATTTTACCTAAAGTTCGTCCTGTGGATGCCTCCAGAACACTATCTGGTCTTGTTGCGGCTGATCTTTTTTGTGAACGTGGGAGGTGTTGCCATGAGAGAGATCTATGACTTCATGGATGACTTGTAAGTTTGTGTCTTGTTTGTAAACTTTGAGCTTTTCGCTCCATTAGTCAATGTGGTTTTCAATCTTCCTTGTATACAGTGTTGGTCTGAAATGTGTACATTCAGAGGATGACCATCAATGTCTATAGTCTGTGCATTAGGTTTAAAACACGGTAACAAAAAGCAATCACCTTTGCAAATGTCACAGCAAAAGTTATATTGACGTCTAAGATCCGTGCTTCAGGCAGCCATATTAAGTGGACCAAAAGTCATACTATAAACCAGGGGTGGGTAACCTCGGCACTTCAGCTGTGGTCAAACTTCAAGATCCTAGAGGCATTCAAGAATCTGACAGCACAATTAAAAATCCAGCATGTGTTCCTCAAATCCCTTACTAGGTCAGTAAAAATAGACCGGTTATGTTCACAAGTGCTTCTGGTCAAGTTACTTCTGGCACCAAAGCAGGTTTGTATCTTCTATAGGCATCTCAGGAGAGCACAATGTCTCAGGGCCGGTTCACACCACAAACACTGCGTTCCAGAGCGTTTGGCCTGTGGAACCCAACCCGGCTGGCTCCCTGCGTTCACGGGCGCGGCAGTGCATTGTCAAAGACACTGCAACCGCACCCCCTGCCCCTAGTGCGATCGCCCACACCCAAACGCGTGGCACATTAGTGCCTGCGTTTCGGTCCAGTGTGATCTGCAAAAATAGTGCATGCAGCATTTTTGCAGATCGCACTGGACCAAAATGCAGGCATTAATGTGCCACACGGTCGGGTGCGGGCGAGGGGGCATTGCTGCAGTGCCATTGACTTCAATGCACCATCCCGCCCCTGAACGCAGGGAGCCGGCCGGGGTGTGTTCTAGAGGCCGGAAGCTCTGGAACGCAGTCTTTGTTGTGTGAACTGGCACTCAAGGTCACTCCGTTGTAATCCTGTTGTAATCCCCCAAAACATAACTGTAATGTTTATAAAGTTCACCATTCTGTATGTAATGCAATGCCTCCTAAAAGCCATCCTCTGTCCACTGAATAAAATAAAGCTAGTACTGCTATACACTGCGCACGTGCAGAGTGTTTGAGCCTGTTGCATAGTGTACACATTGCGGTGGTGACACAGCTTGATTACATTATGATGTTTCATCACTGTGGTTGTGTGTACACAGAATGACAATGCACTAAGACCGAGTGATCAGTCGAGGGATTGTATTTTCTCCTTGCCATCCTTTGTCTGGTTTCATGCGCCTGGAAGAAGCCAGCTCTCAAGGAGAAAACCCTAAAATATGGCACATGCAAATCCACAAACTGCAGAATTTGTCAAATTGGTGTGAGGGACATTGAATGGCATTGCACACCTATATGTTGGTACAAGTACATGCTGATTTGTCAGTGCGATCCATCTATTTGGAGTTCAAGACATTAGTAGGGAGCAAGTTTGATTCAATGGAGAATAAATTATCAGGTGCTTTTTTACGTATCTTTTTAAGCAGTAAATTGTTTTGATGGGGTGAGCTCCAGTCCAGTCGGGGGTGGGATTGCACCTAGAGTAGGGACTGACATCAATTTAATATTTAAGAATGCGGACTCTTGTTTCATGTTTTATTTTGTTTGATCTACACGCTTTGTTTTCCACATTGTGATTGTGTACTGCTTTATCATTTTTTTTTATTTTTGTAGTTTCTGTATTACCATCTGTAGTTGATGTTTTAATTGAAATATCAGTTTCTGTATGCTCATAAAAGTTCCACCCAAACCTTTTTAATGTCTTGATTTCAGGAAGCTCCACAAAAAGTTGGGCCAGCAGGCATGGATGGTGGCTGCTATCACCGTCACAGAATTCCTCATAGTGGTAAAATACGACCCTTACACCTTAACACTACCCTTACCATCCCATGTAACGCGGTGTTGGATTCTGGGTATAGTTCTTGTCCTCCTGTGGACGGCATGGCGTTTCTTTATCAGGTAAGGGAATTGCATGGAGACTGGGCTGAGCTGATTGCACAGAGAAAAAAACCGCATGAATGGTTGATGAGGATTTTACGGTTCTTTGTTAGGGGCATTGTGTACAATGGAATGCATGTAGGCCCCCCTCTTAGCCCTGCTTCCTAGGCTTTTTCCCTGCTTGCTGCTTACTCTGTGGTTTGAAAATCCACTTCAGTTCATTTCTATTTATTATATTAACAAAAATGCATCCTATTTGTGTATCACTCGGCTGTAGATCCTCAAATCATCTCTGAATTAGTGCTGACACTGTCCTTCCTTCTGGAGGGGGGCTCCTTTTGTTCCCTATGGTCCCTGTGTGTTGTAAAGTAGTCACTGCTCCAAGCTCACTCCAATGATTGACTACAATCTCAATACAAATTAGTAAACTAAACATGAGATTGTAGTCCATCACAGGAGTGAGTTTGGAGCAGTGGCTACTTTACAACACACACAGGGACCATGGGGAACAAAAGTAGCCCCCCTCCAGAAGGAAGGACAGTGTCGGCACCAATGGAGGGATCAGTCACACCATATCCAGTGCGTGAGGGGGCGTTAATGGCACCACAAAAGACACACACACATACACCCCACACGCAGTGCGATCGCCCCCCACCGGAATGTGAGGTTCCAGTGCAGTGCGATTTGAAAAAAATGCTACATGCACTATTTTTTCAGCTTGCACTGCACTTGAACGGAGGGCATTCCTGTACCTCGCCTTCCGGTGAGGGAAATCGTACTGCAAGTGGGGAGGTGTCTGCGGTGACATTCACTTGAATTGCACCAATGCCCCCTCCCGCCCCAGAATGCGGCCCGTCTTCATGTATGCGATCCAGTGCAATCTGGGTGTGACCTGCAGCAGGACGCACTGGATATGGTGTGACTGGGCCCTCAGATGATTTGAGAATCTACAGCTAAATGATACACTCATAAGATAGATGTTTGCTAATAGTTGGGGTAATTGGATGCATTTTTAAGGTTTCATTCCTGGGTTTAATGTCACATTAATGTTATTAAAGAGCATTTGTTTAGTCCGGAGGGAATTTTACACTGGTGCAACACTTCTTCTGGCCACTAGAGGGCGACTTTTACAACTGATACATTAACTTAAAATGTTCATAGGATGTATTTGGATAGATCATTTGATCATACGACAGTTATAACCTAGAATGCACAGGCTGAGTGAAATGCGGCACCTTTAATCTGCTGATCTATTACAGGAAGAAGTATTTAACTTTTTCAAGTTTTCTTTATTGCTGACAAAAATATATGTATAATGAATACCTACATATACACATTTGACATACAAAGATGTGTGATATGCATTATAAATGTTTAATTTGTTTAGATAATTTAAATTAAACTTTCCTCGTCACTATTGCTCAGATTACCAATTTAATTGTAAATGTGTTGTGGAAGAGAAGCTCTTAATATATATTTGTAATTGCATCTAAAACCAGAACTGAAGCTTTAATCTTGGCCCAGGGCTGCGATATTTTCTTGTAGTCTGACCAGTGTGAGGTTCTGGAGCAGTGCTTTCAATTGGCCTTGTGTGTAGATGGGCCGCTGTAACTATTTTGATGCAGACTGATCTGCTACAAGATCCAGTGTGCACAGTGATGGATAAATAGGGAAGTCAGAAATGGGAAAAGATTTGGGGGTCATAGTAGACCACAGATTGAACAATAGCATCCAATGCCAGGCTGCAGCAAACAAAGCAAGCAGAGTACAGTCTTGTATTAAAAAGGGAATGTACTGTAGAGACAAAGCTATAATTTTGCCACTGTATAGATCACTAGTTCGGCCTTATCTGGAGTATGCAGTCCAGTTTTGGTCACCAATCCACAGAAAGGATGTCCTTGAGCTGGAAAGAGTCCAGAGAAGGGCAACTAAACTAATTAAGGGCATGGAGGACCAGAGCTATGTTCCCGCTGGAAATGAGGAGATTAAGAGGGGACATGATTTTGATGTACAAGATATTCAGTGGTGATGGCAACATCAGTAATAAACTTTTTACAGTAAACTCCATAACAAGGACTAGAGGCCACCACCTAAAATTGGTGGAGAAAAGATTTAACCACAAAGGGCGTAGGGGCTTCTTTTCAGTCAGTGGTTAGGGTCTGAAACTCGCTGCCACAAGCAGTGGTATCTGCTGAGAGTGTTGAATCATTCAGAAAGCATTGACAACTTCCTCAGAGACCGTAACATAAAGGGGTACGGGTACTCGTAAAAAAAAGATCCAGTCCATTACAGTCCATCCACAGAACCCTGTCGTGCTGACAGGCTTGGCTCCAAACACAGAACTTGCTGCATTCAGCACACTGCCTCTCCTTGCACCCCAGCTAGGTGCAGCTGCACACTAATGAAGTCCTGTGCAGTCTTCACTAAACTACGGTCCATGGAACTAGGAGTCTGTCCCACCCAGAGCTCTATCAGACTCCTAGTAACACCAGCCCCAGGATTTGTTTTACCAATACAAGGTAAAGAGCTATTTTTCTTTACCTCCAAATCTATGCTCGCATTACGCACCATGTTACATATATATAGATATATCTATATCTATATATGTCTATATATCTATATATCCAAAGCAGCTGATTGGCTGCTAGCTCCATTCAACTGAGAATTTTCCAGTCGGCTCCTTTGGTCAGCTGACCGAGGGATGCCAGGTGCTGACAGCGGCACCCACAGTAAGAGTTTCAGCCGGTTCACCCGGAAGACATGAGGTCAGCAGGCCTCTGACTGCCGGAATGCAGGGGTGGGGGGATCAGGTAGATAGAAGTAGTTTACACTGGTCCCCTAGACGGGACCAAGCAGTGAACCCCTGCAGTGTGGGGGTATCCGCACTGCATGGAGAGCTTTTCTTTTGATAGGTTTGTAATTGAAGTTCAAGTGCTAACAAGCGCAGCCTGTCTACCTGATCCATAAAGGTGATTATATGCATTTGTCTGGAGGTCTCCTTTTGAAGTCTTGTCACCGTTACGGTTTCTTTCTCTTTTGCAGAGACATTACACTACGCTGCAAAGAAATCCGTCGGCAGAGACAAGAGTACAGAGTGGACGATGATACGTTACAGAGGAACGGTGATGCAAATACCGAAAGGAACTTGCCTAAACCCAAAAACCAATGAGGTTCGCCATACCAACTATCCCACGCTCTGTCTTTCCACCCTACCCACCGTTACTGAACATGAATTGTACTTTTTATATTTTAATGTATTGGATACTTCTGCTATTTAAAAATGAAACCTGTAAACCTCTGGCTT